CATATATACACCACTACAACAGTCTTCTTGCACAGCCTTGGACCTTGCTTGCCGTACAATATCATGTGAATTCGATACTCAGGTGATTACGAACATCAGAGGCATGTTTGTGTGAAATATGGAGGGACTCTGGCAAATGACATGATGCTATCATGTGTTTGCGTCTTTATTGTGCCGACTGCTGTGGGATACACCTTGCGGGGAAATAATCCTCGATGTCGGGGAACTATTCCATCTTGAGTGTGCAATACAATGATGTACAAAAGGGAATTGATCCGTAAAGATGAATTTTGTCATGTGAAGAAATAAAAAGTCGTCAGTCGAAGAAAATTGAGTAATGGAGTTGTTTTTCTCTTTGGGAGTTCTTCGCTTCAGTATATACATGCTACCCTAAAGCTTGTGGTGTAATTGTCCGCGAAACTACCACATCAACCACTCGTTACTACTTGGGCTTGATAAGCTGACTAAATTGTCATGTATTATTGATGCTCTCTATTATCTAGATGAATACATTTGCTCAAACTTGTCGCTTTATTTGCGCCGAGCAAGACTTTTACTTTCGACAAGTTCAAGCTGCTGCCACAAGTTTGCATCTCTGGTACAAGTACCCGTACAGATGCCAAAACTCGTACTCGCTATGGGCCCATAAAAAAACACAAAGATCTCAAGCCTAAATGACCTGTCCCTTGACCTGCTTTAAGTTCTTCACGTCAGTGTTTCGCCAGATGGCAACTGCGGCAAAGCCAACAGCCCAGATCGCTGTACCGGCAGTCAACATCATGGACTGGGCGTCTGTGTAGGCGTGCTGAATCGCAGTGCGGGTAGGCGTTCCTATCGGAAAACTAAGCTGAACATCGAGCGCGGCATAGATGCTGACGAGATTCGGCAGATCTTCCGGCGGCAAATACTCAGCAAGCTTGACGGGGAAAACAGCCTGCCAGATAGCACCGGCAACAGTAAGGCCGATGGCGCCGCCAATGGACGAGAACATGGACAGGATGGCCATGACAACGGCAATGTGCTGGTGGTCTGCGGCGGACATGGCGGCAATCTGCGGCGTCATGATGATGATGCCAGCGGCAAATGAGATGAATATCTGACACATGATGAGATAGCCCACGCTCATGCTTGGGTCCCGGAAGTAAATCATGAGCCCCATGAACAGCGTGTAAACGGGGATGGCGACGTAGAGCGTCATGGCCTTAAAGCGGCCGGTATACCGAATGGCGACGCCGGCGGCAATGGAAAACAGACTGCTGCCGAGGCCATATATCTGGACAACGTAGCTGGCCTCGGTGACGCTGAGGTCCTGGACAACCTGGAGGTACGAGCTGAAGAAGCTATTCCAGCACCAGAAACTAATAAAGAGCACGGAGCCAAGCACGCACGCGCCGACCATGTTGCGGTCGAGCAGCAGCGCGTAGGGGATAAAGGTGACGGGGGCAAAGAACCTCTCCCACACGGCAAACAGGGCAAGCAGGACGACTCCAAAGACGAGCAGGCAAATAATCAGCGGCGACCGCCACCCCAGGGCCTGCTGCGTATACAGGTTAAAGGGCAAGAGGAACAGCGCCAGGCCGGCCGTGATCAACAAGAGGCCCACGGCGTCGAACTCGCGACAGTAGTAGAGGAACGACTGCCAGGGCGCCCTCTCTCCGTCCCTCGGCTTGATGACGCCCTGCCTCTTCGCCTTGAAGTAGTTCATCATCAGCAGGCCAAACAGGGGGAGACACAGGACGGGCACGATGATGGACAGGGCGCCGAAGCACCATCGCCACCCGGGGCCCTCGAGGAAGCCCTGCGAGATCGGGCCGCCCAGCCACGTGGTGACGATGTTGGGCGACGCCGTCAGGGCCGTCATGAGCGCGCGGTTGCGCAGGGCCGTCGTGTCGGCGACAAAGATGTTGACGCTGTAGAGCAGGGCGGCCGTGCCGACGGTCCAGAAGACCTGGGCGGCGGCGTACATTTCCACGCTCGTCGTCGCCGCCATCATGACCAGGCCGACGGTGACGACGACCAGGGACGCCATGTAGCCCTGGGGCCGGCCGAAGACGTCGAGCACCTTGGCGACGGTCAGGTTGCACGCGCCGCCAAAGATGCTGCTGAGGATGCCGACGGTGGGCGTGAGAGAGTGCTGCTGGAAGGCCGACGTCACGAAGGGGTTCAGGGCGGCCTCGGCGGCCTGCTGCATCAGCATGATGAAGTAGACGATCCAGATCAGCACGTAGGCGACTATGAGGCTGGTCTTGGACCAGACCGTCGCGATGGCCTCGACCTCGAGGACGCCGGCCTGGGCCTCCCTGTCGGATGTTGCACCCGAACCATGCTCCGACTTGTTGAAGGCATCGCTGACATCGTGGACGACTCCTCCGTCGCGGCCCTTTTCCATATATTCGTCGGCGTGGGCCGGCATGGGCTGCGGGTGTTGAGTCTCGCTCATGGTATGGTGATGGGAGCAGGCAAGACGACTTGTGGCATCAAGACAAAGACGAGGGCTGGGGAGTGAAAACACTTTCAAATTCAACTATCTAGAGGACTACGTACATGATAGTTCCATGCGTGCTTGGTTATGTACGACCTTGGGGGGCCATCTCCCTCGAGGATGCTGGCCCGAGCTGCGCAAAGATAATGTTGAGCAAATAAGCAACAAACTCGAGCATTCCCACACCAGTGAGGGTGGATGAAGGGCACTGGATAAGCAAGTATCTTGCTCAACTCGAGCAACCTTGCAGCTTGTTGATACGCCATCTGGTCGTGGCCCAATTCCCCAGCCTTTTCACCCGGACGACGTTGTGCCAGTCTGTTGCCAAGGAATGACACGCGAAATAAGGGGCCTACTGATGCCGGTTTCGAGCACGTTTAGGAAGCAATGCCTGTATAACATCGATAACATCCTGAAAGGATGAAACGTCGAGGATGATCCCGTCTATGGCTGGCTATATCCGAACCCCAGCGGAACGTTGGGCGTCAAGTTGGAGGCACAGGGGCGCGATCTGTAAGCCGCTCCCGGTCGATCTCACCGAATAGTAATTAGCTCAATCTAGCTCACTCGGCCCTTGCTGCGACAGTCAAGGGTATTGATTGGAGAGTGGATAGGCCCCATGAGCTTTGGCGCTCGGAACATTGAATGTGTCGAGTCAAGTCAAGTTGTCAAGTTGTCAACCAACACAAACACCAAGACCTGCCGGATGCCTCTACAAATCAAGCTACAATACAACCTCACCATCCCGAAGCCGAAGCCCGCTCCACACCCTCATTGCTGCACAATCCTCCTCAGCCAGGCCTGCTTCGACGCAATGGCTGCGCGGATAAGCGCCACGTCAGGGTTATCCATGCCGTCAAACAGGTGAAAGGCCCCCGGCCAGACATGCAGTTCGCACGTCGAGCCGCACCGCCACATGTCCGCGGCAAACCTCACAGCCGGATCGCGAAATACCTCGCACTCACCAACGTCCACATAGGTCTGGGGCAGACGGGACAGGTCGCGCTCGCGGGCCGGCGACTGATACGGCGAGACGCCGGCGGACCCCCGGGCCTCGTCGCCGACAACGTGCGCCCAGGCCGCGCGGTTCGTGACGCCGCACCACGGGCTGCCGTACTCGAACTGCTGGTCCGAGACGCTCCGACAGCGGTCGTCCAGCATGGGGGACAGCAGCATCTGCGCGCGGACGGGCGTCGCGGGAGACCGCCTGTCCCGGGCCATGAGACACGTCGCCGCTGCCAGGGCCGCGCCCCCGGACACGCCGACGACGACAATGGCCGCCGGGTCGATGCCCAGCCGCGACGAGTGGCCCGACGCCCACGCGAGCCCGGCGTGGCAGTCCTCGGCTGGGCCTGGGGCGCGCGTCTCGGGCGCGAGGCGGTACTCGACCGACAGGACGACGCACTCGATGCCCGCGAGGAGATGGAGCAGCTCGTCGACTCCGGCGAAGCGGTCGCCCGACACCATGCCTCCCCCGTGCATGTAGTACACGGCTGGTAGCGCGCCTGACGTGGGCTCCTTGGGCGCGAACGCGGACACGATGACTGTGTTGCCGTCGGGCCCGGGGACGCGATGCTCCGTGTGCTTGAGGTGTGGCCGCCCGTCAGTAATGGTGCCAGCATTGTACGACGGGGATTGGTCATCTCCGTCCGAGGATGACAGGCCGCGCATGAAGCCGAGATCTAGTTCCTCGGGGAGCAGGTATGAGTCGATGATGGGTGCGAGCGTCGGGTCGATGGGCGGGCGTGGCATCCGGATTCTAGAGTCCAGCTCCGCCGCCTGCGAGTAGCCGTAGGGGTATTCCGGTAGTTTCATGGCCACTTCTAGAAATGGTGGAAAAGTCGGTGGGCGTTGTGCTGCGCTGGCCAGGCATCCGATGGGCGGTTGCAGCAAAGTAATAGTTATCTGGTCGACGTGTGGAGGCGTGAGATGGGTTGCCGAGCAAGATGCGCATTTTTGCGTCAATATCCATGTGGATACGTGTACCGGACTATCCTGGCCTGCCTATGATGCTGTGCAAGAGACTACGTGCGTACCGAGTGCCAGGCATCGCGGGTGTCGTTTCTTTGTTGGTGAATAATTCGACATGTCAACTTGGAGATTCTCGGCCAGGCCCTGCGCTTAAGCAACCCTGGCCGCTTCCCCATTGGTGCTCGCCAGGATGAGATGTAAGCATGTTGATCATGGGGTGTTAACCGCAATTTAGGACTCTGGCTGCTACTCCGTACACATGGGATTTCCGTCTGACATCCAGACCGGGCTCCCGGGAATCCGGACGCCTCAACAAGACCAAGCCCACGCCTGTACAACCCCGTCATATCTTGGCAAGTGTCCATGTGAGTACTCCGTATCCTATCGCTGTGATACATTGCGGGACAATGGCCATGGCGGCCGTCAGCCAAATCTCTAATACTCCGTCGTCTCACACCCAACAAAGAAAGCTGACGCCCTTTGTTGAACTTGTACAACCTCCCCTAGCAAACAAATGTGGCAACTGGTGCTTATGCTACGACATGAGTCATTGATACCTATCAAAGTACTTCTTGGCGCCTCGCAGGACACTGTCTAGAACACCATCCTCAACAACACCATCTTGCCAGCTAAAGCCTACCGTCATCGAGCCGTCCCCCCCGGTGGCGATGCTAACGGTGACTGCGGCCCCAGAAGCAAGAGCACTTCGACTAAGCATCACTCTCCCTACCTGCCAAAGAGGAGCACCCGTCTGAGGAGAGGACGAGAAGACGCCAATGTTGGTCACCTCAAAGGCGGCGTCGCGCGGCTTCCCGAGCATGGATCTGCAGACGACGGAGAAGTCTGGGATGGTTTTGAGGACGGCAATGGCGGTATAGGGCTCACCGGTGGGCGATACATTGCCGAGATAGTCTCTTAAGGCCCCGGATACCTCCCGGGCCCCTGGCCAAATGTCCGTTGGCGAGCCGGAAGAGCTATTGCTGCTGCTCTGATGCGGCCGCGTAAACGACACCCTGGTGGCGTCAAAGTACGTCCCGATGGCATCACGAGCAGCGTCGCCGGGCAGGCTCAGCCACGGCCGTAAGCTGACGGGGATGATACAAGTGAGTGTGTCCTCGGGCTCTGGGAGCGTCGTGAACAGGACCGACGCCACGATGGACGACAGCGCGGCCGTCACCGATGTCTCTTGCCCCTTGCACTCCTGGAAGAAGGCTCGAGACACGCCTGGCGAGAGGCAAAACGACGCCCAGCGAGACCTGCATGGCATGCGGATGGAATTGGCGGTCCACTCTTTCCGGGTCTTGCTTCCAGGGCCAGGGGGGTTGGGATGATGAGGTGGAAGTGGTTGAGGGTGCAAGTCTTCGACCGGTGGGAGGACCAAGACTTTCTCGTCCGCCGTGACCCTGGACTCGGCCTCAGACTGTGATGACGAGGTGGAACACGCGGCTGCCAGGGCGGTCTGGAACGCCTTGTGGAAGACGAGGCCAGAAACTCCGTCCCCGAGTGCGTGATGGTAGATGAAGCTGGCTGTGAACTCTGTCTCCGCCCCGGGCGCTTGTAAGATGACGAGGCGCCAGAACGGCAAGGTGCCATAGTCGGACTTGAAGTTGGTATTGTGCTGGTCCTCCAGGATGGCATCTAGTTCCTTGTCGTCGCCGTCTGTACCGGCAGCCAGAGGGTGAGAGCGTTGGAGGAAGTGAATGCTCTGGTCGAGATCAATCGAAGAAAGAGACGCAAAGTAACTAGTATCTGGGGTGTCCTCGTTGACAGGAATGGCAAATAGTATGCCGTGTTTGCGGACCACGTCTCTTGCCGCCGAGTAAATTACACGGCGCAGGTCAAACCCAGCCGGAGAAGTAGACCCAGATAGAGCGTAGTGAGCTGAGAGTCCGATGTTGTTGAAGAAGCCCAGGTGGTGGCAAGATGCCGAGACTTGCTCAAGTTTGCCTGTAGAGCCGCATTAACTTGGGGAGTTTGGCATTACGTCGCAGATCTACTCGGGGGGTATCAACATACCCAAAAGGCGCAGCTTTTCCAGATGCCGCATCGTGGCCAGCGAGGACTGCGACCGCGCGAGAGAAGCTTGATTTCTGAATCTTAATAGTCAGAGACAACGTCGGGGTTGTGCTACGAATGGCAGCTCTGAAAACATGGTGAATGGTGTTTGTGATATACCAGAGATCTTTGATGTTGCGACTCGCAACGACTTTCAGGCCAAGCCCGTCTTACATTGGGCTCGAGGCCCAGTGGCGGCGAATTACTAATGCCAAGAATGGCCGGTCGCCCTGCCGGAGGGATATTAAGCTCATTTTGTTTTAGAAATCTCGTGGCTGCATGTTTATCCTTCCTCTCTGCCGGGGCTACTCCTCCTATCATTTGCCTCAAACGTGCTCAGCCGGATCTGAGCAACTCGCCATGTGTCAGATGGCCCCGAGGCTCACCACAGTTAAACCGTCATGTCTCACGATGGCCCATGTGTCACACCTAGGTGCTCCATTGTAAGGATTTCTTGCTCAGCCATGTCAGTCATCATCGGACACGGCTTGCCCGGCTCGCTTAAAGGCCTCTCGCTATCCCTTGGTCGGCCTTTCTCCCTCAGGACGGACCGTCTTATAAAAAACAAGTACCGAAACATCTTTGACTTTTTGCATATACTATGGAGAGTTCCCGTTTCAGTCCCATTTAACTGTCCGGCCGCGCATCTGCCTGTGACTGCTGTCACATCTGCATAAACCAGGCAGGACTTTGCCTACCCACCGCTTTGCCAATCAGCAGTGCACTGATGTTGGACAATACAACCTAAACTGAGTCAAAGCAGTGGATCATTACTCGATTCTTCTAGTACAACATCTCAATTGGCCGTCGTCAACATGAGGCGTAGAGACGATCTTCCCAAAGAAGACCTTGTTGGGAACGATCAGGGCTCCTCTCCCATCAACTCTTCAAAGCCCAACGCTGATTCGGAAGAGATATCTCGCCAAATCTTGGATATCATCGTCGAGTATGCCCTGAACAAATTCGACGACTCAAAGGAGCGACTGGCAAAGGGCGCAGACACGTTTCTCTCGTCTATACACCACTTTGTTGCAGCAGGGACCCGGGTAGAAGCATGTCTCCCCGCATTTCCCTTCAAGTCTGCCAACAAGGTGTACAAGGTTCTTGGTAACCTGCCGGACAAGGCTGAAGAGCTGGCTCTCTGCCGGTTGAACACCATGTGTACACGCATAAAAGAGGTGTACCAGCCTGGCGCGCAAGTCACCATCATATCGGATGGCATCACATACAATGGTGAGTCTACAATGCGCAAAAACACGGACGAATCCATTTGAGGAATGGGAACAATGCTGATACAGTTACATTCCGTCTCGTAATTAGATTTGCTGTGTATATCGGACCAAGACACATGGGCTTATGGAGAGGCTCTGCGAAAGTTGGCGGCCCAGAACAAGTTCAACTTTATCAGCTTTTCCAGGATGAAAGACCTCCTTGACTTTCCTTTGCCCCAAAAGATGACCGAGATTACTTATGTTGCCAACTGCACTACTTTCCGCCGCTTGCTGCTCAACAAGTACGGCAAAGCTGACCTCGATATTGACCATGAGATTGCCACGAATCCCGATACGAAGCTCACCTACCTCGGGTACAAGAGGTTTTTGGAGTCTGATTTAAAGTACATCTTCCCCAGGGGGGCGGATAGGACTGCGAATGGCTACAGAAGGGATTGCAAGTATCTCGCCAAGCAGATGTTGATCCGAGGCCATGTAAGTGAAGCCGCATCATCATCCCCTTCAGCACGTCACTAAATAGTTGCACCCCACAGGCCTTCGCGGGTGCTGTCAAGAACGCCTACCCCAATCATTTACGGCTCTCAATCCACGAGTCGGTGGCTGGTAACAAGGTTTCCATCTGCCTACTCAACACCAAGACCGGGTTCACGACCCCATGGCACTGCAGCGTTGCTCAGCTAGCCGATGGGGAATGGATCAGCGCCCCCATGGGTGAGTTCATCAAGGATGATAGGCTGGAGCTCATGTACATGGATGGCCAGCCAAGCTACTTCAAGGAGAAGCCCCGGGAGCCAGACGCCCTCGGCATCAGTGAGGCGACAGCAAGCTATCTCCAAGAAGCCAGGCCTCTCAGCGCAAGTGGCTATCTCACCGGAGCATCTACGCCCATAAAGACCTCGCCTGGTCGTCTTTCTCTCACACCTCCAGCAACCGAAAAGAGCAGTGCGGCCACCACGCCCAAGACGCCGTCTCCTCGAATACTTTCATCTTGCAGTCGGGACGCCGCTGCCGAGGATGAGTTGAGTAGTGATTTGTTATTGGAAAGCAATAATGGAGCTGCTTCGATTCCGTACGGAAAGAGGCTCATCCCTCAGATCATGGACAGCTTGGCTGTTGCCGAGCCGGACCGTACTGTATTCTCGCTGACGACATTGTCCGCCGGCTCACCTGAATTCAAGCAAATATCTGCTCTCAAGTTCACCAAGGCTGTTGACAAGACCGCATGGTGGCTTCACAACCGTGTTGGCAAGCCCGGCTCTGTTCTACCTATAGGATATATCGGACCACGTAAGTTGAACCAGATTTTCCCCGATGCTGGTCTTGCGTTGCAGCCATAGCCCAACTCTCTAACTCTCACAGATGACCTGCGACATATTTTGTTGACCTATGCTTGCGTCAAAGTTGGCTACGCAGTAAGTTTTGCTATCAAAACACAGAATCGCCTGGCTAACTCCCATCAACCACAGGCCTTGTTTCTATCACCCAAGAACAATACCGAAGGAGCATTGGCGGTCCTTGAGGCAACAAAATGCAGCATCTGGGCTACCGCGGGCGAAGTCTCACCAGTACCCCTGGTTAAAGAAATCCTGCGGCAACGTCCCATGGATGAGCTGCAGCTTCCTTTGCTCGATGAGCTGCTTGATGCCGATTCGGTTGCGCCGTTTCCTTATACCAAGTCGTTCGAGGAGGCGATCGACGAGCCGTTTTGTTTCCTGCATACCTCTGGGAGCACGGGGGTGCCGAAGCCTATTCCATGGTCTCATGGCTTGATCGGCACCATGGATGCGGTGCGACTGCTGCCGCCTGTTGATGGTGATGGCAATTTGCTGCCATGGACATCTGACTGGAGGTCAGGCGATACCATCTACTCGTCATTCCCTATGAGCCACGTGTGTATACCCGTTCGCCATTCTTATTAACACTAAATCGATATATGCCGAGTGACTGACCGATAAAATACAGGGTGCTGGTATTATAATGGACATTCTAATGCCCGCCTTGTTCGAGTTACACTGTGTCTTGGGACCGGCGGGCGTTTTGCCGAATCTCAATGTTATCGAAACTCTCGCAGAGCATGCCAAGATTGACATCTGGAGCATGGTTCCATCTCTTGTTGACGAGGTTGGGGAAGCACCCGAAGTCTTGAGCAAGCTGAAGCCATCCAAATTCATCTGCGCATCCGGCGGTCCCGTCAGTCCGATAAGTGCTAGCAAGGTAAACGAAGTCATAAGAGTGCTGAACTTGACCGGTACAACAGAGGGCCTGTTTATAGGAAACCTCGTGACCTCGAGGGAGGACTGGCTCTGGTTCTGCTTCCATCCCTACTCCGGGTTTGAGTTTAAAGAAGTCGAGGAGGACACATATGAGCATTGGGTGCATCGCAACCAACACTGGCCCCTATTTCAGGGTATCTTCCACACTTTCCCAGACAAAGACTCGATAAACTTGAAAGACTTGTACACGAGACATCCTACCAAGCCAAATCTATGGGCTTTCAAGGGACGAAGCGATGACCTGGTGGTGTTGTCCAACGGCTACAAGATTACCCCCTTGGAAACGGAAGCTTTTATTACTACTCACCCTGCAATCAGCGGGTGTCTTATTTTCGGCACCGGGAAGCCACAGGCAGGTCTTCTTGTAGAATTGAAGGACCCCTTGTCGAAACCAGATACGCTTCTCGACAGCATCTGGGAGACGGTCAAGAAGGCCAACTCCCTCTCCAGACACAGAAACCAGCTGCTGAAGGATTTTGTTACTTTTTCAGAGCCCAACAAGCCTTTTATTCTCACGGATAAAGGCACTGTCAAGCGTACCGCTACCTTGGCCCTTTACGCCGACTACATCGAGCGTTTCTACGATTCTCGCAACGAAGATCTTGCGGGCAACTTCCTCGTCGACCTGGAATCAACTACATCAATTCAGAATTGTCTTCGTGAGATTCTCACATCGTCACTCCCCGACATTCAGGAAGTACCGTTAGATTGGAATCTGTTTGATCTCGGGCTGGACTCTCTGGGCGTCTTTGCAGCCGTCAAGACTATTCGGGCCGCCACAGGCTTGGGAGAACAGGTTGCTCCTCGCCATATCTACGCCAATCCCACAATCGCCAGCCTGTCTGCTACTATTGCACGTATAGCGGATACAGTGAAGACAGCAAACGAGTCTGTCTCACACAATGATGACGATGGGGTCTTTAAGATGCGAAACATGATTGTCAAGCACAAAGCTCGACAATCATTTCCCTTGAACGCATTGGACTATGTTAACCCAAACCACGGCATGGGCCTTGTGTTTTACTTTTCATTACAAGAAGGAGTCAGCTACGAGCAAGTATTTACAAACTTGCAAGAAGGTCTGAACCGGACATTCGATATGATCCCGGCTCTGAGCGGCAAGATGATGAACCGCTCAGAGCAAGAAATCGGGTACACTAAGGGAGACCTCTGCGTCACCATTCCCTCTTTACCCATGGCGGCGTCTGTCCGCAATAGATTGAAATACAAGGATCTCTCCAGCGTTCTTCCGTCATTTGCAGAGCTGCGAGAAGCGGGATTTGCACCGTCCGCCTTCAAGGACAGTCTTGTTTTGCGAGACGACCCCTTCCCCAAGATGCCCGCCGACATCTTCGCCGGCCAGGTTAACTTCGTTTCAGGGGGCTGCATCATCGCCGTCGAGCTAAATCACTGCTGCCTCGACGGCCTCGGCGTCATGATCGCCATCAAGGCCTGGGCCGAGAACTGCAGATATCTCCAGGGCGACAAGTCGGCAACGTGCGATTGGTACGACCCAGAGAGTTTCAACCACAGCTTGCCCGAGATCATTCACGAGCAAGAAGGTTGGATTCGGCCTCTTGATGAAATCGATCCGGGCACATGGGGCTTTCTTCCATTCTTCCCCCCGGAGGACGAGTCTCCCCGCGTGGCCGATGAGAAGGACTCGACGGCTGTCAAACCCGTCGTTCGGCAGAAGGCGCCCGACGAATGGACTCTCAATCCTCGGCCTGTATTCCCCCTGCACTCTGTATGGCCTCTTCCTCGCGCTGAGAGATGCCTGAAGACTACCTTGTTTTCGATCGCGCCCGACAAGCTGGAGCAGATGAAGCAGGACGTCGTGGCAGACCCCGAGGCCAAGGGGGTCATCACGTCCATCAGCGACATCTTGCAAGCCTTTTTCTGGCGAGCAGCTATCCGGGCGCGATACCGGGTTGCTACGGAAATTCGCAGACAAACCTTTGGTCCTGAAGACGTGTCCATCCTCGAGCTGCCTACCGATGGCCGCCCGTACTTTTCCTCACTACTACCATCGACTTATATGGGCAGTCTTCTCATCTTGAATCGGTCCAGCATGCCCATACAAGAACTGTGCTCTCCCAAGACAAGTATCGGACAGGTTGCGTACCTGCTGCGTCAGTCTGCCGCGCGCATCACCCCTTCTCTCGTGCATGATGCATTCACGCTCTTGCAGTCTCTCCCTGACCATGGCAGATTCTCGACTGCAAATATGGGCCTCGAGCACATGCACGCCATGATATCAAACATGATGCTGTTCCCAATGAGCGAGATTTGCTTTGGAGACGGGCTCTTCGCCAACCAGGGTTCCCCTGAGTCTATGCGGCCGCAGATAGAGCGCGGCAACGGCCGCTTCAGGTTTCTTGTGATTTTTCCCATGAAGAAGGATGGGGGGGTTGAGCTGGTTTTGGGCACGCACCCGGAGGAGTTGGACATGTTGAATGCGGATGAGGAGTTTACAAAGTATGCGAATCTCGTGGATACTTGCTGCTAACTAACTACGCTTGGGTCATGTACACGATACACGGAGCGAAGGACTAGACTGTTGGGCGTAATTTATATTTTATAGTTTATTCAAATAAAAGTGAGATAAACATGTTACAGATTCGGTGTGGTTCCGGGCGAGTAAAAACTTGAAATACTGAAAAGGTGTCATTGACAACTATAACAGTATGGATCGTCTTCCGGGTAGAGTCCCCAGGTAGTCTTCAACATGTTGTGTAAATCACCCCGTCTTATCCGACCATGGTGCGATTTTCTCTCAAACGTTCCTGTGGCTGTTGTGATACAATTCCGTATACAGTCGGACTTGACCCATGCCGCTTGAGCAAGTTATGCTTATCTTGGGTGATGTGAGCAAGTTTTACTCCGCCATTCCCATTCCCACTCCCCACGCCATGAGCTGAGCTGCCCTTTGCATCCCCCAACTCACAAAAAACAGGCAGTGTCAACAAAAATATCGGGGAGAGTCCTAGTTTTCGCGAGGCTAGCAATAGGTATTCATGTGCCTGGCGTCTGTTGAGTCCCCCCCCTTTCTCCCTCGCTCACTCACTCGTGCATGAACTTGCTTGGGCAGGCACTGACCAGCTCCTCTCCACTCACCAGCAGATTCACATTTGACAGCCTTGTGCCTTTGACAGGCCACCTCACTTGGTGGTGCTGTTTATTTAATCAAGGCCTGCTTTGCTGCGCAAAGCGAGAAGAGCATGGTGTCGGCCGTCAATTCTCAGGTTGGCACACAACCCAGGGCCTACGCTGCCCTCGACAGCGACGAAAGCTCAAGTCTCCTCAGTGATCACGATGTCGACGGAAACGATGATGGCAATGAAGACGCCATTCGGGCTTCTGACATTCAGTCTGGTGTGCAGGACGTCGAGGCCATGACGGTGGCATGGACCACTAGCGCCCTGGTCTTTGCCTACGTGATGACATGGCTCACTTACTTCGTTGAGGGCATGTTGACTGGCACCACGGCTATCCTAACGCCCTATGTCACGTCTGATTTTGCCAGGCACTCCCTCACACCAACCGTTGGTATCCTGAGCAATGTTATCGGCGGCGTCACCAATCTCACTCTTGCCAAGGTCCTCGACGTCTTTGGCCGGCCGCAGGGATACCTCTTTTGCATAGTTGTCGCCGTGGCTGGGCTTATTATGATGACCCTATGCCGCAGTGTCCAGGCGTACGCCATCGCTCAGGTCTTCCAAGTAGTTGGAAACAACGGCATTCTGTATAGTCTGACCGTCTTCGTCGCTGATACCTCTTCACTGCGCAATCGGGGTCTCATGCAGGCCATCGTGAGTTCTCCGAATTTGATTACCTGCTGGCTGGCTGGGCCGATATCCTCTGCGTTCCTGAACGGATCCAGCTGGCGTTGGGCGTTTGGAATGTTTACAATTCTCGTGCCATCCATTACGCTCCCGCTTTTCGGCCTTTTATGGACCAACTTTCGAAAAGCCAAGGACCTGGGCCTTGTGGCAAAAGGCGACAGCGAGAGTGACCGCACCGCCTGGGAATCCCTCATTTACTACTCTCGGCAGTTCGACGCAGTGGGCCTCGTTTTGCTATCGGCGGGTGTCGCGGTCCTTCTTATGCCCTTCAATGTATATGCGCTTCAAGGCTGGAACTCCCCGCTTGTCGTCGCAATGCTGTTTATTGGCCTTCTCCTCATCATTGCATTCGCCATTTGGGAGAGATATTATGCCTCCATCACTTTCATACCGTTTCCCCTGCTCCTTGACCGCACTGTTTTAGGGGCTTGTATTCTGTCGGCTACGCTATTTGTTAGTTTCTGGTGCTGGAATAGCTTCTTCAGCTCGTACCTGCAAGTTGTTAATGACCTCAACGTCGAAAACGCTAGCTACGTCGTACAGTCCTACACAGTCTGCTCGGTTCTGTGCGGCATCATGGTCGGCGCCTTGATTCACTGCACTGGACGGTTTAAACCAGTCTGTCTTTATATTGGAATCCCGCTCAGCATCCTCGGTTCGGGCTTGATGATGTACTTTTGCAAAATTGAAAGCAGTGTTGGCTACATCATCATGTGCCAGATACTGATTTCTATTGCTGCCGGCACTATTATGGTCTGTGACGAAGTCGCCATTCTGGCCGCCGCTTCGCACCAACATGTCGCTGTTTGTCTCGCAGTGTTGGGGATGTTTGGTAACATTGGCGGTGCCGTCGGCCTGACCATTGCCTCTGCAATCTGGCAAAGCGTTTTTCCTAATAAGCTGAGGGAATACCTTCCTGTTGAAGAGCTCCCTAACCTGGAAAAAATATATGCCAATATCTCGACCCAACTGTCTTATCCAGTTGCCTCCCCGGCACGCCTGGCAATTCAGCATGCGTATGGAGACGCTCAGATGAGGATGCTGGCTGTAGGCACGTCGGTTTGGGTTGTTGGCCTTGTATCGGTCATGATCTGGCGAGACATTAATGTGATTGGAATAAAACAAAGCAAGGGCCATGTTTGGTAGTCTTTTGTAAATTGTCCTGGATGGTTGCCTAATGGAGGACTTTATCTGCTCATTGTTTGCATCGATATTTGAGCTAAAGGTTTGGATGACCTCTCCTCTTGAGAACACAAATATAGCGATAGGTTAAGTGAAGCACCGTAATTTCGCGCATCTTGAAGAAGCTTTGCAGCTGAAGTGTCAGAATCTCCCATCAATTCTCAAAAACGCCCCGACACCATCAATGTGGGCGTTGCTGTATATTAGTCAATGCTCTTGCTCCAACCGAACACAAGCTGGACTATTCTTCTTACTAACTGGTAAAGAAGATTAAAGTCCGAATCTGATACACACCGAGGATTCGTTGGTTCCAATTGTCGATAGAAATCTCGAAAATAGCTCACCTAGCCACACCAATCAAGGCATACACTACTCTTGTGAAGATCAGGACTATTGCGAAGTATATTTCTGGTGGTTTAGTTATTGAATGATTGAAAATAGGGACGGGTAAAGGATGTAATCTGAAATGGTTTGACACGATAATTATTTAAATCCTATCTACCTTTTAACTGCCAATTAGGCTTTGCCACCAACGTTATAATTGGTGGGGTGCTTTTTGAAGCCCCTTGTGATCTTGATGGCCACCGAGGTAGCCGTCCTGATAATGTCTTCTAGATCGAGGTAATTTGAAGGGCGGCTGCATCAATCATATCGCATGGAGCAAGCCCAGCCTATGCAACATGGGTTGATCTGATGAGCACAACCGGCTGTTGTTATACCTTCGAGGCGCCACGAAGAACTACTTGTAGTCAGGGTTCTCACGTAGTTGGTATTAAGTCTTGCCTAGCATAACCTTCTGGGGCAAGGCTTGGATCCCTTGCTGCTGTTGGGCTATCCGGGTATCATGGACCTTGCGGTCAATTATCTTGAAGTCAAATGCCCCCTCTAGCTCTCCCCGAATCGATAACAATTGATCTTGAGCTAGTTTTATGTCGTCTGGTTTATTGTCTTGGACAACGTGGGATTTGACTAGGAGGATCCAGCGATTTTGCATGTCGACTGGAGTTACAGCATCCCAGGCCGGTAGTGATGTGAGAGGACTTGGTTGCTGGCCACCTCTGGACTCCAAAGGCGCATAATCGCCAATCGATCTCAGGAAATACTGTCGAGTAAGACAGAACTCTATTTCTTCTCGAAAAAACCTGTAATTTTCTTCCAGTATTTCGGTTTTAAACCTGGCGCATGTCAGCTGGGCGAAAGTCTCTCCTAATCTGAGACCCTGCATACCTATAATTATTATCTCGCATAATTGGCAGAAGCTTCTTTTGCTCCCAAATTTCCACCATTTTTCTTTGAGTAAGCAATGGTCTTCCATGGGGAGGATCTGGAAAATCTGCCCATCGCAATACACCAGGCATGCTGTCCAAATCCATAGGTGCCGCAGAGGGGCCCATGTCTCGGTCTTTTACAATCTCGTATCTAACCTGAAGGATACATGACTGGCGGCTGAGGCTTTGATGAAGCTCTTTCCATAGTAATGCCAGGTCTTTCCGTAGGGGTTTATCAATGGATGACTGGTTTGTGATGCCGCTAGGTCTTGGAGGCCCTTGCAAGTAGAGCACTCTGTTCACAGTCTCCCAGGGTGACATGGCACAGAAGCCACTTAGGACAGCACATGCTGCGTTGAAGTCCTTGTCTTCAACCAAGGCCGTGAGGAATAGTTCGTACATTATGAGGAGATGGCGATGTGCTGGGTATACGCGAGGACGATTTATCAAACAGGCGGCCTCAAGTACCGAGGCGAGTATCCTTGGCGAAAGAGTCACGTCTGAGCCGGGCAATTTGGAAATAAGGCCTGTTCGAAACTCAAATGCTCATCTAAAACAGGGAAAATGTCATAGATGTTCTCGCTTTGCACAAATTCGCCCTCTGTTGCGTTAGATCATTATCAAGATCAGATCGTGAATGGTCCACGACTCCACGCTGTTGTTACTTGCCCACCTAGCACGTGATCGCGCGTTAAACGTCTCGCGTGCAGCCGTTTTGCTCACGCGCATCCTGAATTTTAGACAGCAACTTCATCTTGTACCACATTGGCTTGGTTTAATGCCACTGATTGACTGCAATTATATTTTGCATGAAGCTTAGCCATATGATACTTTGCAAGAGTGCGATTTTCATAGCATGGCGCCATCACATTCTGCTAGCAAACGGAAAGCTGGGGAAGCACCCATTTCGCCCCCTCCTGTCAAACGGTCTCTGCAGAGCACAACGACTAGTAGGTATTCATACACATGCATGTCCAGTGACAAAGATTCACTGACTGAACTACTCAGAGTCAGCGGTAGCCAACTTTTTTACTCCAACTTCACAAAAGCCTAAGGATCGAACGACTTGGTCTGAACGCGGTCCGAATGACGATGTTCCTGCCACATTGCTAGTCGGTCGATATGTACCTGAGGCACACAATTCCGGGCAAAAGCCCAGAAGAAAGATTGCGGCATTCGACTTGGATTCTACTTTGATCACGACCAGCTCTGGAAAGAAACATGCGAGTGATGCGACAGATTGGAAGTGGTGGCACCCACATGTTCCTGGGATTCTCCAAGAATTATACAAGGAGAAGGACTATCAAGTTGTCATTTTATCCAATCAGGGAGGAATGACGTTGCATTTCGATCCATCATATAAAGGCCCGAAGGCAAATGTCCAGAAGCGAGTTACCGAATTCAAGCAAAAGTGCAGTGCTATTCTCAACAGTCTTGATATCCCGATAAGTGTTTACGCCGCAACCGAAAGGGATATTTACAGGAAACCTAACACAGGAATGTGGAAGGAAGTTTGCGAAGACTACGACATCCCAGAAAACGAGGTCGACTTGGAACACAGCTTCTTCGTGGGCGATGCGGGTGGTCGAGTTGCTGGTCTCAGCGGTTCTGGTAGTGAGGGCCTCGTGGCAAAAGCCAAAGACTTCAGCTGCTCGGATAGGAACTTTGCTCACAATGCGGGAATTACTTACAGGACTCCAGAGGAATATTTTTTGGGGGAAAATCCAAGGGACTTTGCTCGAGATTTTGACGTCGCAAAATTTCCATTTGACGAGGCGGTATCTTCGTCTGAGGGACCTTCTAACGTGTTTGAAAGGAAGAATCAAAAGGATGTGGTATTATTCTGTGGGCCACCGGGAGCTGGAAAGAGCACATTCTTCCGGAGGCATCTCAGGCCATTAGGGTATGAGAGAGTCAACCAGGACTCTCTCAAAAGTCGGGACAAATGTCTTCAGGCTGCCAGGGAGTTATTGTCTGAGGGAAGCTCTGTCGCCGTTGGTAGGTGTGCATCACGGTCTCGATTGTTATGCTACAAAGAGCTGACAAAAGTGCTAGATAATACGAATGCTGACCCTGAAACACGCGCATTGTGGGTGGATATTGCGTCCAAGGCGAAGGTTCCCATCCGCTGCGTTTGGTTCAAGACACCGCTTCATATTTGTGAGCACAATGATGCAGTTCGAGCTCACAATCAGTCGTTAAATCCGGAAGCAAGGCAACGCCTACCAAAACTAGCCTTCACGGGCTTCGCCTCGAGATATAAAGCACCCCAAATCAAGGAGGGGTTTCAAGACATAGTAGAATTAGAGTTCAAGTTTCTTGGGACGAAGAAGGAGCATGATATCTGGGCACGATATTGGGCGTAGCTGCAAGCTCAGGGGAACGAACGTGAACCACGGGCGTCATGTGTCATTGTCTGACGCATAGGGATCTTTGCATTCGTTGCTTCCAGAACCACATGATTGGCGAAACCATTTTATCTTGTATGACAATACACGAGAATCAGTTCAGCGGCTCTCTTGGCAGTGTCTGGTAATGAAATGGCGGTAAGGTCAGGTTACCGGACATAACACGAATGCCGACTTAAAACTGCCCTGAATTGGCGAGGTTTATTTGCAACGAACGAACCCTGCAACTAGCGAAAATGAATCGGATAGACTTGACCTGAAGTTGAACCACAACGGGGCAGTAAGCAAGAGGGGACAAAAGCGGTTCCGTCCGCTGCCTGCGTCCGAAAAACTTGGCGGATTGCCGGCTTGCCCGACGGCATCTGTGGTGGCGGACGGAATCAATCCCACTTACGTGATGGCTTGCAGGCAATGGATGCGGCTCGAGTCTGGGCGTACATGGTCAGATGCTTCTCAGTTGATCTTCACGATCCACATTAAGCATCAATATTTGCAACTACCGCTGTCTAATAGCTGGATATACGAATTGACTATTCATAACTGACGAAGGTATTCATTCCGCACACGAAACGATGCTGTCCAAGTCATTAATGACAAGTCATCGCAAATACAGGCAATACATCCGGAGCAACAATATGAATGGCATCAAGGAATCGCAATGCAGCATATCGGAAGATTCTGTGTACCGTATGATGCAATTTTGATGTGTGCCATAACCTTATTGCGGCAGAATTGCAACTCTGGCTTTTTTAACTTGATGAAATGGAAAGCAGTCATTGCCACCCTCGAAGGTTACGACAGCGAGTCAAGATGATACGGACCATTGGTTATGCTTGCCCTGGACTTACCACCATCATGCACCAAACCCGGCAGTGGCACCACTCGAGCACCAGGGCTTTTTATCCTTTGTTCTAAAGTGATTGGTGGTTTTCAAAGGGGTTCAGGTATTGTTGGATTGTGGGCAAACCAACTTCCCCTCACCCACCTGGAGCCAGGGGTCAGAACCGGCAAACTGGTCACACAACTCATCGGCAACCCACATCCCACAGGCACTTTCCAATAACGTCATTGACGAGACAGGGCAAAAACTGCGTTGCGCGCCCTGTGGCGGAGATGGGACGAGGGCTGTTGAGGAAATGGTTGCTGGCTAACGACAGACCTGGATGTCGGACGTTGGCCGAGATATAGTTTCTTAACAATGGCGGCTTGCGATGCCTGACGGCCTAGAGGGTGGTGATGCGGCTCGTCACCTCGTGTCTACCCCCAAATCGGAGGGCTTCTTCGTGGGGGGGGGGCTCTTGGCGACGTGGGGAGCGACCATGCGGCTATTTGAAAGCAGCAGTCTAGTGTAGAATGGCGTCGGTCTGGCTGTCCGGGTTGGATTATCCCTGGAGTAAAGAGGTGGATTGTGCGGAGACGGTCGGGAAAGTCAACAACAAAAAAACATGATGAGAGATGTCCATGGGAAGCCCTCTGGAGACATCAGGCAGATCACCACTGACTCTGGGCTTTGCCCTTCTTTCTGGCACCTTTCATCTGACATCCGACTGCAGAGCTAATGTCTAAAATTGGAGAAGACAACTAAGTTGACCAATGTAAAACATCGTCACCAGGACCAGAGTCACATCGCAGTGTGTCGCGCCTCGTGGAAGCCCACAACCCCAGGTGTGAAGGTGAACAAAAGAGACAAGCAGCCACCGACCTCGGCTGCCCTGCTAAGACGAGCAACTAATGCATTCAATTCATGCGGCTGGACATTTGGAACTCGCCATGCTTCGACCCACCAGACCAGCGTGGCGCCCCGGACTGCTGTCCGAGTTCTGTGTGGGTTTCTAAAATGTTCCGGTGTTGTGGTGGCAAGCTGGCAAGGTCGGGCCTCTCTCTCTGCGAATACCATTGTTGGTATTTCGCCCCCGACCTATTTTGAGTCAGCTGGCGAACTTGGAGTGGATTTGTGGCCTCATGCCGGCGGACCATGAACCATGCCGGCAAAATCGCGCGCGGCGCCGCCACGAAATCTGCAGCCCCTAGGAATGATTAGAGTTTGTTCTCGAAGCAGGCATGCCTTACAGTACATATGCTCAGCATACATACGATGGACACACCGACAGACCAAAGCACTTGGATCTTTGCCTGCTAGTACTACTACTAGTCAAACAAGCATGTGTCGGTGCATCAATGGCCCGCCCCCTCCAGGTCGTCTCTCATGATCGTGTGCACCGTTTACCTTTGCATCCCTGGACAGTCTCGTGTGCTTCCCCCATCCTTTGATTCGGCCCTGTTACGGTGGCTAAATCTGCGCCCAGTTGCCGACTCGGGTATTGAGCGGAAGCTAGGAGTACCATGGCTCTGGCCGTCTTGTGAGCCTCTGGAACTGGTTTGCCGCATGAGAAAATAGACCGGGGTATATATGTCCAGTCCGACTTGTTCATTTCTCCACGGTTAAGGTTATGCTTTTGGAAAGAGGTTGCGACTTCGGTCATTCGGGCCTGTTTCGTTCCCCAGACCCCAGAACGCGAAACCCCAGACCCCAGAAAATTCCTCCAATTTACGGAGTGCATACATATATGAAGGTCACAACACCCGCCTACCTGTCGCCGCGTGCACCGTTCTTCGTTGCGTCTTGTCAAGAAAGCGTCTCTGTGGTTCTGATTCTAGTTTCTCCTATACCCCAGTCTTCGACTCGTCTCATCAACCAAGAACCTACCCAAAGCACCGCAGCATCATGGCAGGCGGTGTGAAAAAACCCGTCAACATCTTCCGCCTTAAGAACCTTGGGGAACCTGACGGGGTCTTCAATTGGCGCCTGTGGTTTGCCGTGGTGTCCTTTGGTCTTCTTGGTGCTGCTCGTGGTATTGACGAGGGTCTCATCTCCGGGGCTTTCAACTCGCCTGATTTCCAGTCAACCATTGACTACAAGTCCTTCTCTGCTGTCGAGCAAGCCAACATCAAGGCCAATGTGTCGGCCATGGTGCAAATTGGCTCCGTCGCCGG